AGGGAGAAGAAGAGGAAGAAAGAGGGAGAGGGGGAAGAGGGGAGGAGGGAGGGAGGGAGAGAGGGAGGGAGAGAGGGAGGGAGGGAACTTATAAAAGAATTCAAAAATGAAGAAACTTTGATCCAAAACAATGCTTTGTAAATCCAGAAAACCCATTAGGAAAATCCCGGAATTTGCACATCAGTAAACAGCATTTGAACTAACTGGTTATAATACACAGAATTAGAGAAGAATGGTTCTACTATGGTCTGAAAGTGGTCCCTAGATCATGCTAAAATCTAATTTCCATGCTGGGTGTCTTATTGAGAGCTGGGACTTAGGGAAGTGATTAGAATCAGAGGAAGTCCTAAGAGAATAAAAATCCTATGTTGGCATCCTCATTGGTTTTACAAGAGGAGAGAAAGGAAGAGGCCAGACAGGCAGGCAGGCTTCCTGTTTATCATGTAATGTCTTGTGACTTGAGACACTTCAAGCAAGTCTTTCACTAGTTACCACCCTTCAGCACTGAACCTCCAGAATCATGAGTCAAAACAAACCACTTTTCTTATAATTCATTCCACCTGTGGTATGTTACAGCCAACAGAAAAATGAACACAAGTCCTTTTAACAGTGTAGTGTCGCAAAAATGGAAATTAGATCGTCCAGTTGTGAGTTTCAAATTCTTGGTCTCAAGACTCAGTTTTATCAGACCCTAAAGCATCAAGACAATGTTCTGATTATATTTTGATGCCAACTTACTTACACCCTGATAAAGTGTGTAATCAGATAATGGGGAAAATTCTGAAAAACAAAAACCAAAATAATAATGTAATCATTTTGGTAGAATGAGGCATGAGTCCTTTTTTTTTTTTTTTTTTTTGAAATTTTCTACATTTTGTCTTACAAAAAATAAACTGTTACTTTATAATGATAAAAATATTCTTTTTGCTTATGAATGGTAGAAATACATGATAGTGGCACATTTTAGTAAAATACAATGCTGTCTATCATACCAGAAGACAGTGGTCATGGGAACACCCTAATGCCTACCCAGTCACAAATTCTGTCTGATAATGAAAACAGACAAAAGTTATTCTTTTCCCGAGCTTCCTCCACCCCTCTCTAGAGAACATTGCGAAGCATTGAAAGCCTGATATAAGTACAGTGGAGGTGATGTCTGCCAGGCCAGCAGTGAAGGCAGTGGCCCCAGCAGGGAGACACAGTACCTTTGCCTTGCCGTCCTCTAGGTCATCTGCCTTGGAGGCCAGCAGCAGAAGTCTTAGAATGAGTGAGATACTCAGAGGAAACTGTCCTCTCAGCTCAGGAACTTTGGATTTTATGAGTTTACTTATTTTGGGCAGTGGGATATTAAAGAAGTAGACATCACCCAGCAGGTCTTGCCCTCTTCTTCCAGCCCGACCAGACATCTGGAAACAGAAGAGAATCACACTGTGAGATCACCTGCGTGTTTTTCCTAAGAGAATGTAAAGAACTAAGCCTTTTACATTGCTTTTGTGCAAATATGATGGGGTTTATCTATTTAAAATCTAAAACATACATATTTGAAGCAGACCTATTTATAACAATATATCTGTCATTCCCATGCATCATTAACCATAATAAGTATTTGTATAATGCTGTATAGAACTACACATATTTATAAAATCCAGTATCTAATATTATGAATATAGTATGTATTGTATAATATATAATTGTCACTTTCTGGCAGTTACTTATGTGATAAAATATTCTATCTATGATGTATAATACTATATATGATATAACATATAACACATTATAACATAGATTTTTTTCAAATCACTTTAGTTTATGTGCAAGTCATGAGATAGTAATGGTCACCTAAATTCTGCAAATAAGAGAGGAGATTGATGTCTTATCCAAGATCATATACTTGATCAGCATTCGTCATATAATCTCATAGTCCTATTGCTTAGTCAATACCAGACAGTCACCTACAGTGGTCTGTCATGAACTGGAACATGTTAGTAAATTAGTAGTTAAAGTATTGTTTTACTATTTCATGGCTTTATAGTATTAATAAATTAATGTATATTGTAATACCTGTCTGAAATTTAAAGCATCCAGATAGACTGAGTTTTGAACAAAAACCACAGATTTACAAGGCATGTTGATTCCTAAAGCAAGTGTTCCAGTAGCTGTCACCACCTAAAAAGGAACAAAATAGTGATTCTACACACTGGCATTTTGGTAAAATACAAGTATTTCCATGTAATTGAAATCCTAACAAAATTGCAATGGGCAAACTAAGGGGATGAGATGCAAAATGTTTCTTTTCTTTTGCAAACACAGACACATTTTCTTAAATGGAATCTGTTATAATACTCATTGCTTTGCAAAGAATATATACTTTAACCATAATCGTGTGGTGCAAATGTCTCAGAGGAACTTCGGGGCCACATCTAAAATAATTATCTTCTTTCATCACCATCTACCTCTCTGTTCTTTGCATTATCCCTCAATGCCCTTTAATGTCATTGCAATTTTTTTTTACTCTTCAAATATTGAAGTCAAAACATTGTTCATGCTTGCATATCTCCAGAGCCAAGCAAAATATCTGGTGTGGGATAAGTGTTATAGTAAATATAGTAAGTAAAATATAAGGAGAAGAATTTCTCTGAGAGGGCAATAAATATTTTACAAGACTACTTCCTGGTAATTACCTGATCTACTAAAGTTCATTGAGAAATGACATAAAAATAAAGTACATTTTTTCTGTCATGAATTTGCTTGATCACTAATCCGAAACAGAAAGGAATGTAAAGTTTATTAACATAACTTCTTGTTAATTTTCTTGATGTAGTTTGTATATGTTGACTTGTCCTGTGTTGATGTGGAATCACTGTGAAGATGTGCCTTTAACAAGGCACCTCCTGATTGATTTAATGAAGAGCTGAATGATCAATAGCTAGACAGGAAGAAGTTAGGTGGGACTTTTGGTGACAGAGAGGACAGTGGGGAAAAAAAGTAGGAGTCACCAGTTAGACATGGATAGGAAATAGGAGATGCAAGATGGAAGAGAGGTCACACTATGTGGCAAAATGCAGATTAATATAAATGGGTTAAAAATTAAAAAATATAAATGGGTTAATTCAAGTTCTAAGGGCTAGTTGAGACAAGCCTAATCTATAAGCCAAGCTTTCATAATTAATAGCAAGTCTCCTGTGTCATTTTTTGTGACCTGACAGGCTGAAGAAAAATCCATCTACACTGACTCTTTAGATTGATGGCGGTTTGTGCTCTGTTTTGTGATGATGTTTAAGGATATGAAGTAATGTTTTCTAGTAGTTTTGTGTTTGAAGCTTATGCCTCTATTAAAATGAAACTTGCTACTTATTAAATGCTTTTTATTCAAATCTCCTTAATGTGCAAAAACATTGAAATAGTAGGAGCTTTACATTTAGAAAATGAATAGATCAATTACCTTCCTAAAATGTATTTTCTGATGAAACTGATACTATTTCCCTAGTAGCTGATCTGTACCAGCCCAGTCATTCATCACTTTATTAGTGACTAAGAAATTACTGGCAGATGCTATTTTAACCACATCTCTTTCTCTTTTTTTCTCTGTCTTCCTTCCACCCTCTATTTCTTTTGGCCTATGCCACACAAAATGTCAGGTTGATAATTTTTAGTAGTCATGATTAACTTTTATATATTACTCAAGATTCACATTTTCTTGGTAATAATCTAAGGGCCTCTATATACTTCTCTGGATTGTTGTCATGAGCCTTCCCAGGATGTACTAAAGAAAACATGATAAGGATGAGGCCTGAAAGATATTTATGGCAATATTCCTCTTGTCCCTCATCAGTAACAGGATAAATAGCATTCAGTACCAGCATATCTACAAGCTCTGCTGATATAAGCTGAAGCAGGTAACTGTGCTCTGATTTCAGCTACCACATTAGAAAAAGATCTGCCCCAAACTCAAATATAAGTACCATCTAAATCTTAGAGAGAATATTTGTAGCAACATCACATCAACAAAACCTACATATAATAACAAAAGAGTAAGTTTATCACTGAGGTCAGAATAGAGATGCTTCATTTATTGCATAAAAGAATGGGGTGAATGAAAGCAGTCAAATCTTCTTCCCTAATTAAATGACATGGAGCATATGCTAAGATGCCATAGTCAGTAAAGAAAGTCTACAGCCCAAGAGGAATAGCTACGTGACAAAAAAAGGAAAGGGGTGGTTATGTTATATTTCCTCATTTCATGAACATTCTACTTCATATATTCACATTTTCAAGTTTTACAGTGAAAGATTGACCCACCCTAATAAATCCTTTTCTAAAAAGAATTTCGACTAACTGCTTTTCTTTGAAACTCATGGAGCTGTGATGATAGCCAATGCCTCTTCTTGCCAATTTCTTCAGTGTGTTTCCTTTTCTTTGGAATTTCACTCGATCAAACACCATCTGCAATGACTAAAAACCAAGAGATTTAGAATATTGCTTGTCTCATTCTCAATCAAAAATGTTTAATGAAAATAATATACATGTTACATAATAATTTGGCCAAATGATGTCACTGTTTGGCCTTTGCTCTAAGCATCATTATCATCATCATCAACAACAACAAAAGAACATTTTATGGCAACAACAATCACCACAAGAAAAGCCTTCTCCATCCTTGGGGGTCTCACCTCAGTTCTGGGATAGAAAACTTTGCCAGCATATTAGACAGCCCAAAGGAAATACAAGACTATGGCCCATTCCCACCTGAACAAGATCAAGTAAGTGACTGTGAAATCTATTCTAAAGTTCTCCCTAGAAACTAAGGCAAAACTCTTATACTGTAAGGTCAAGAACTGCCTACTTCCCACTGCAAATGACATACTAATGTCCTCAAAAATACCCATGTCTTAGGGAGGAAATCCAGTTGTGTTTAGTGTTATAATAAATAAAAGATTAACACTTGGAAACAAGGGACAAATTTAAGTCTCCAAACATAAAAGGATAGTTCCCAGCTATTTTGATTGTGTAACTATCTATAAGACAGAATATGAAGGGCCAATTAAGAAAATGATGTACATAAATGGTCATGAAAACTAAACAGATCATGAAGCTGACAAAAGAAGATTCATGACACAATGAAAATACACAAAGTGTGTGTGTGTGTGTGTGTGTGTGTGTGTGTGTGTGTGTGTTGACATTGCTTTTATTGAAACTGGTTGTATTGGTAAGCATGTCGACTAAAAATAGGAAGAGTTTGAAGGACAAAAAGTTTAAAGATGATAGACTAAACCAATTTTAGATAATCCAATGACCCTTTGGTGAAATTTTTTAGCTGCAATATAGAAAGACTCTAATTTTAAGAAATGCTATAAGTATCTAAATATATTAGTTTGCAGGGGTCCAAATGCTGACTATAATATACGGACTTTTATAGAAGACACAATGCAAGAACAGGCACTTAGGTGATTTGTCAGCAAGACAAAAATCAGTCTACAAATTCTAAACCTATCCTAAGTGTGGATTGCAAGGTGCTTGAATGTTGTGTGCAATAAAAGTTTCTGTCTCCTACATCTCTAGGTCAGAATGACTTCCCTTATGGTAGCAACTGCTTGAATTATGGCCAACACTGTCTGCATGGAAGAGGCTTTTCTCTGGGAAAACTGTGCCTTCTCAGTACTGACCTCATCATCTATTGCTTTCTGATCAGCATATGTGCAGTCCTCAGGAATCTCTAGATGCTTCTCCAGACTCTTCAGGAGGTAATTGTATTCAGCTTCATGCATGATGATTTGATCTAGCCTTCTGGAAGGCTTCTTGCTTTTTTCATCTCTTTTAAAGAATAAAGTTTCAAGAAATCAGTATTTACATCCAATCTCTAGAGGAAGCCCAAAGTATCTTATAAGTCATACTTATCAACCTGGGTGACCTTGCCTCATCTTGCTAATATAATGCTCATTTACTCTCCTTCAGCCTTTCACACACTCAGGTTGGAGGTATGTGTTCTCTCTCTGCTTGCCAATTCAGGGTATTCTCCTGCCTCCTATGGTGGACACTGCAAGCAGGTGCCATGTCCAGGCTATATTCTAACAAAAGACTATATCCTATTAACTTTGCTTTTCTCCTATTCTTCTAGTGATTTCCTTATATGCCCACTGCTTCAATAAGGCATGTGCCCTTCTCAGTGTGTGCTACATACACATGGCAGGGACCCTTAGGTATTTACTCTGTATTCTCCAGGAACTCTGAATGTACCAGGCATTTGCAATCACTTGGACCATTTATACATTGTTGTCACTTAACTATGCAAAGGAGATATTTCTGAACACAGGAAGATGAGGTCACTTGGATTATACCATGTCATGGTATGCATCACACATCTAGAACACATCACCTCCAAGTAGCATTAAGCTTAATGAGGAGGGAAATGTCATGATTATGCCCAGCTCTATATTTTCAAAACATGTGCCAATGCACTTACAAAGGAACACATATTGTTACATTACTCAACATTTTAAACTACTAAATAAAACACTATTAATAAATAAAAACTGCTAAAGAAAACATACAAAACATCCTTCCAGCTCAACAAAATGACCCTGTAATAGTGAGCTCCTGGTATGCCTGTTTCTTTAGTGGTTCTTGCATTTCAGAAATGGATACACAGAGAGAAGAGTCAGAGTTTTGCCCTCCAATGCACAGTGCATGAAGCATCCTCTACCACATCCTCTTTAAAATGAGAGTGCTGAAGATAATAAAACAACTGTCACTCTGACAGCTTGAGTTGCTGGTCACTAAGCCATCTTGACCATGTAGCTCTTGACACCCTGAAACAGAGGTATCGTAAGGAGGATCATTTTCCAAGAAATCCCTACCTATGTTCCCCTTGGAGTTCACTGCCTCCATACAATATACTGCCCAAGCAACAACAAAGCATGCAGAGGTTGCATTGTTCATGAAACCTTGCTCTAGAATTTGGAATGTTTGAACTAGCGATGCTCTAAAAGTTTGCTTCAAAGTGAGTCATAGTTCTTCACTTAAAATATCCCTAGATGACCCTAAGAAGGAGCTTTCATAGCACCTGAAGGGACTATACAAGCTGCCAAGGTAGCAAAACAATGTAAAGTCTTACCTAGCTGTAAAGCTTACAAACTGCAACAGGAACATAGCAATATATGCCCAATGGAGCAATAGGGCACTTAACTCCAAGGTAACTACCAATGACTAATTGGACTTAAAGACACTTAACTATGGGATATCCATGCTTGTTACTATAAACCTAACCAACTATGTGTTGCTGATGAAATAATGTACCATAGAGACAAATTTAGTGCTACCACATCCATAAACCAGTATAACCACCAACAGCATTCTAAATTCTAATTCTTACATACACATATAAGTGAAGTTCTCACCCTCATCAAAATAGCTTCTTTTGGCAGTAGAGAGATTCCATCACTATAGATGTTTACAAAGTGGAGTCAGAGATAGGTTGATAAACAGAAGTTTATTGGGGAAAAGTACTCACTCAAAGGAGTTAGTGATCAGGTTTGCACCTGAGCAGGACAGACCCTGAAATGCTTCCTAGTCAGCTCAGCCAGGGGAAAGAGAGCTGTATGTGTGCCTCCCTCATTCTTAAACCCTTGTTACATAGCTCTGACCACACCCAAGCGGGCTTTGTCAGTGGTACCTCCAATCAGTATTTCTCCCTATACATCCAGAAATCATTAGCAACATTAGTCATGGGGATGCCTATCCCCCACATCTATAACATCTATAGAGGTTTCTATACCTAAGGCTCAGGGAACACTGAGGAAATGAAGGCATGAAGGTTGTAAGTACCAGAGGATCAGGACATCTGTCTGATAATGTCTTTTATATACAGCAGAGAAACTGTATCCACAAAATCTTAAATATATGGTTACTGAAATGAGACCTGAACAATGGCACCACTAGTTGATAACAAACATGGATGTGGGAAATTTCAATAGGACCCAACCCTAGATGAAGAGCCATAGGCAATTAATTGGCTAGCAAAAGGGAGAATTAGTCTTCTCCAGTTACTAGTCTCTTGGTAGTTTATCCATGCCAAGTGGTCATCACTAAACATATATTCATATAAGCAAACTAAATGGAATCAACAAGATACATATATTTGTGTGTGTGTGTGTGTGTGTGTGTGTGTGTGTGTGACAATTACAAAAGAGATTATGAATTTGAGAGGGAAGGGACAAGAAAGGAGCTGGATGGGAAAGAGTATGGAGAGGAATGAGGTAAATACAGTAGTCATGCACTTTAAATGCCCTTGCCACATAATGAGATTGATGACTACTTTAAATGCCATCCTAGAGCCTTCATCCAGTAGCTGATGAAATCAGAAGCAGAGATCTACAGCTACAGACTGGGCTGAACTCATGGAGTACAGTTGTAGAGAGGGAGGAGTGATGAGCAAAGGGGTCAAGATCATGTTGGGGAAACACACAGAAACAGTTGACCTAAGCAAGTGGGAGCTCACCAACTCCACAGTGACAGCTGGGGAACCTGCATGAGATCTAATAAGGCCCCCTGAATGTGGGTGTCAGTTGTGGGGCTTGGCAGCCTATGGGTCCTCTGGCAGTGGAATCAGTGTTTATCCCTAGTGCATGCACTGGCTTTTGGGAGCCCATTCCCTTCAGATGGACACCCAGATACAGAGGAGAGGGCATCAGTCCTGCTCCAAATGATGGGACAGACTTTGATGACCCCCTCATGGGAGGCCTCATCCTCTCTAAAGAGTGGA